CACACAATGGAATATTATGCAACGATAAAGAACAACAATGAAGTTGTGAAACATCGTATAACATGGTGGAAGCTGGAACTTACTATGCTGAGTGGATTTAGTCAGTCACAGAAGGATAAATACCATATAAGACCACTATTATAAGAACTCAAGAAAAGGTTTAAGCACAGAAGAAAACATTCTTTGATGGTTACGGGGGTGGGGAGGGAGGGTGAGGGTTATTCACAAAGTAGTTAGTAGATAAGAATCTTCTTAGGTAAATGGAAGGACAGCACACACTATAGGGCAAGTCAGCACAACTGGACTAAACCAAAGATAAGAAGTTTCCTGAACACAATCAAATACTTTGAGAGACAGAGTAGCAGGGATGGGGGTTCTGGGGACCATGCTTTCAGGGGACATTTGGGTCAATTGGCATAACAAAGCTTATTAAGAAAATGTTCTGCATCTTACTTCGGTGAGCAGCGTCTGGGGTCTTAAAAGCTTGCCAGCAGCCATCTAAGATGCATCAATTGGTCCCAACCACTTGGAGTAAAGGAGAATGAAGAACACCAAAGACACAAGGAAAGTATTAGCCCAAGAGACAGAAAGGGCCACATAAACCAGAGACCTCATCAGCCTGAGATCAGAAGAACTAGATGGTGCCCGGCTACCACCAAAGAACTTGCTGACAGGGAACACAACAGAGGGTCCCTGATGGAGCTGTAGAAGGATAGGGTGCAGAACTCAAATTCTAGTGAGAAGACCAGACTTAATGGTCTGACTGAGACTGGAGGCACCCTGGAAAGCATGGCCCCTGGACTCTCTATCAGCCCAGAACTAAAACAATTTCCAAGGCCAACTCTTCAGACAGGGATTGGACTGGACTGTGGGACATTAAGTGATACTAGTGAAGAGTGTGCCTCTTAGTCAAGTAGATACAAGAGACCAAAGGGGCAGCTTGTGTCCAGAGGTGAGATGGGAAGGCAGAGAGAGTTAGGAGCTGGTTGAATGGTCATGGTGAATCAGGGGCAGAAAGGAGGAGTGTGCTGTTGCAGAATGGGGTGAGCAATTAGGGTCTCATAACAATGTATGTAAAAAAAAATTTCGTATGGGAGACTAACTTGAAATGTAAACTTCATTTAATTACAACAATAAAAAAATAAAACAATAACAACAACAACAACAACAATACATGTAGTTCAACCATCTATACGAGACTAAATGGGCACACCAGCCCAGGGGCAAAGACGAGAAGTCAGGATAGCACAGGAAAGCTGGATGAATGGAAATGGTGAACCCAAAGTCAAGAAAGAGAGAGTGTTGATACATTGTGGGGTTGGCAACCAAGATCACAAAACAATACATGTATTAATTGTTTAATGAGAAGCTAATTTGCTCTGTAAACCTTCATATAAAGCACAATTTAAAAAAAAAAAAGGAATTTCCTTAGATAGGATATAGTATAGACCACGGCTATGATATTTACCTATCTGAAGGAACTATGTTTCACCTACAACCACTTCTCAGGCTTTCTGGTTTTGTTTTGTTTTCTTATTGGGAAATGAAGGCCAAATTCAATCAAGAGGACCCTACAATTGCAGCCAGTCAGTTGAGGTCAGACAGTCAGTAATATTGGCTGGGGGCTTGCTGATTGGAAAACATTGTAAAAGGTAATTTAGCATTCAGAACTTCCCAAGTCTAGAATCTATGTGGGCTGCCCAAGCACATAGACCAGTTCTCAAAGCCACAAACTGGTAAGGGCCACTTGAATGAACTAAGTCATAGTCATAATAACCCCACCATCTGTTGAGTGCTAGCTATGTGCCAAATCCTGTGCTGCTTG